GGTCTATACCGGCCTTATACAGTGCCTCATAGTTTCCAGAACCGTCTACTGTAGAAACATCTAGAATGTTCGAGTATATATCGGTACGTTTATGTAGTGCGTTGTCACCCCTGAGGACTAAGATGGAATGCCTCGTCACCAGTAAAAAGGGTCTCTGGTTCCCGTCACTTGTCATTTGTAACACAGCACTAAGCTGCGATTTTACTCTGGTATTCTGTATGATCATGGTCTTTCGCCAGTCGAGCTAACTTAATCATGCTGCAGCCATAATGCGTTGCATCGTTGCTTTATTCAATTCAAGCCATAATAACGTTATTTTCATATAATTAATAGAATCAGGCGTTACTTTGCGGAAATCCATTATATAAAAGCTTTTAGAAAGAAAGAAAGAAAGAAAGAAAGAAAGACATTTATTCACTGGAAATGTACACATCACAAAAATATAAAATAACAAGTTAAAAGTATGGTAGATTAAAATTACAAGAGTGTATCGAGCCAGTGAAAAGGTTATGACTCAGCGTAATGCTGCAGGGTAACCTACAGCGCTGATGATTCTGCCATAACCACAGAAACACGCACGATCCGCCTGGAAGTGTTTATGACATACATTTCAATAATTATTTTATAAATTGAATTATTTCCTTGCTAATAAATATACCTACATATACATTTAGGGATATACACACATACATACATACAAGACATATTATACATAAATATATTCATATCATATTATTTTCTATATAAAACTAAAAAGGTTTCAAAAACATATATAAAAATAAACGTAACAATAAGCTTTGAAAATACACACTAAAAACAAACATACTCGTATAATGCTCAACGATGCTGGAAGATAGGTTCAAGGTTGAGCTTTTTGTGAGTGTAATAAATAATTTTTATAATGGGATTTAAAATTGTACTTTGAATTACACTCACGAATAGGTGGAGGAATGTCGTTCCAGCGCCTTGTAGCTATATATTTAAAACTACCTCTGAAAGCTGCAGAACAGTAAGTGGGATTGGCAAGCGGGTTCGTACAAGACCTAATGATGTTTTGGCGATTTCTCCATATAAGTTTATCATATAAATATAGGGGTGACTTAGTTTTGACAACATCAAATAGAAGATTAGCGAGGTATAGTTTCTGTCGCGCTTTTATTTTCAAAATACCTGCTTCATTGAAAAAAAGTATTACATGGGACCGTTTTGGTATTGAGAAGCAGTATCGTGCACATGCATTTTGTATACGTTGAATTAGACGTTGTGACTTTTCCAAAATACAGGGTCCATACACTGTAATGCAGTGGTTTAATTTTGAAAGAACGAGAGATTCACACAGTCTAATTCTTAAGTCCAACTGAATGTATTCGCGGATTCTATATAACACCTTTAACCTATAAAAGCAGTTGCGGACAAGCTCGAGTACGTGTTTTTCAAAACGCAATCTGCTATCCATAACTAAACCGAGGTTACGAGCTTCACCTACATGCTCCAGAGGGATGTTTAACAACATGATTTTAGGGTTTTGATTTTCTAAAAATTTGATTTGGTTTTTTGATCCTAAAAGCATATACTTAGTTTTTAGCGGGTTTAAAATGAGGGAATTTTTCTGTGACCATATTGCAATTCGATTCAGGTCCTCATTGATGTTACTAATTGCGGAATGAAATTTAAGTGAATTGCAGGAAAGATATACCTGTAAATCATCAGCATATAGGTGGTATTTGCAGAAGTGCATGCAGTTAGTTATATCAGCAGTGTAAATTATAAATAACAATGGTCCTAAGATAGAACCCTGTGGAACACCTCTATTAAGTGGTCGTTGTTGAGAAACAAGGGAAGACCCATTTGGTTGATTTAATATTACTTATTGTGAACGGCCGCATAAGTAACTTTGAAACCATTTTATGGAAGATGTTACAAAACCATAAAACCATAGCTTAGACAGCAGCAAATCTATGTTAATAGAATCAAATGCTCTTGAAAAATCAAGCAGGGTAAGAATCGTACCTCTACCAGAGTCTTGAGATGTAAGAATATTGTCAACCACGTCAAGTAAAGCAGTAGACGTGCTTCTACCTTTTCTAAAACCTGATTGTAAGTCAGATAAAATATTGTTAGCATCACAAAACTTGACGACTTGATTATAAATAACTTTTTCTAAAACTTTTTAGAAAAAATTACTTCGCAAATATCCGCGTTATAAAATAAAACGATGAGATCACTTACCGGTTAGCCACCGTAGAGTCTATATCACCTGAGGATGCCTCGTGTAGAGGCGAAACATGTGTCGTATTGTCGTCAGTGGTTTGTATTTCCTAGTGTAGTGGTGTTGGGAGTAGCGGTGCTGGGATTAGTTGTGACGGTGTTAGTGCACGCAATTGAGGGAGGGCGGGAGGTGCTCTTGATACTAGGTAAGACACATCATTTTATTTTATAAGTTTGCAAATATCCATTTGCAAAGTAAATTTTTCTAAAAGCTTTTAAACGTTATTTTCCACATTTTGGATGTTTTTTATAGTAGAAGGTACAAAAAGACCGTCCACCTGATGGTAAGTGAATGCATCTACAAATATTGTCAATTAAGAATCCAAATGCAAATACCCTGTCACCGCTGAAGACCAAGACGAAATGCCTTGTTTCCAATAATAAGAGTTTTTACGTGGTAGAGCCATGCTGCAGCTATATTAGTAGTATAGTTGTAGCACGAATGGGTCGGCTCGACCGGGGAAGGACCACGCTCTCACAGAATACCAGCGTAAAATAGCAGCTCAACACTGCTGTGTTTCGTATGGTGAGTGTAGAGAACCCGAGACCCTTTTTACTGGAAAAGAGGCATTCGATCTTAGTCCTCACGGGTGACAACGCATCTGCATTTTGATTCGCAAATGAGGATAGATATAGACGTCTATGGGCCACAGCAACCACTTACCATCAGGTGGACTGTGTGCCCGTTTGTCACCCTATCTTATATAAAAAAAACTTATCATTCGAAATCAGCCTTCTTCTCCCCCAGTCGAGCCTAATTCGTGTTAAAGCTATAATGTATTGTATATATATATATCATGATCTTAGTCCATAAAAGTTGGAAGCCATATTTATCATCCATAATTTGATTGTCCCTGAATCTTTGATGTTATGTTCTCATTTACATTTTATGATAACCTTTCTTGTTTGTAATTTCACTGTTTGATTTATTGTAACAGTTAAATTATGTACACAAGCGGAGGAATTGGGAAAAGGTTCTCTCTCCATTTTATGAGAACATGTCGACGTTCTAGCAAATTACATTCATGAAGCCTCTTGTTATCGTGTGTGAATTACAAAGGATGCTGTGACATCGAATATCGTGAAATAATTTCTTAGTATAGTTGTGATTGGGGTAGAAATGAATAATGTTTTAAAGAATAATATAAGACTTTAAATTATTATAACTTTTAACAAAAAGTAAAAATCGAACTTCAAATTTCTAAAAAAGAAGTGTCCATAGACATCTACATTTATCCTCGTTTGCGAATCAAAATGCAGATGCGTTGTCACCCGTGAGAACTAAGATGGAATGCCTCTTTTGCAGTAAAAAGGGTCTCCGGTTCTCTACACTCACCATACGAAACACATCAGTGTTAAGCTGCTATTTTACGCTGGTATTCTGTGAGAGCGTGGTCCTTCCCCGGTCGAGCCGACCCATTCGTGCTACAACTATACTACTAATATAGCTGCAGCATGGCTCTACCACGTAAATGTCGCAAGAGGATCGTAATCTCATCGGTCTGTTGATTATTTTTCTTTATAGTATACGGTTGATAAATGGAGACACATTCCAGCTGCCGGTAATTAGATGGTGTGACCCACAGACATCTACACTTAACCTCGTTTAAGAATACAAATACAGATGCGTTGTCACCCCTAAGTGGTAAGATGGAATCCCTCATTTCCAGTAAATAGGGTCTCCTATTCTCTACAATCACTCTACGAAACACTGCTTTTCTGTAAGAGCATGGCTCTACCCTGGTCGAACCGATCCATTCACGCTCCAACTATAATATAGCTGCAGCGTGGCTCTACCACGTTCAAAACTGTAATGAAACATTTCTATCAGTACTAATGAAATTGATTACAATTTTAGGCGCTGATTTACAAACTGGGATAGCGAAAAACATCTTAAAGTAATCTGTAAGTTAAAGAAGATGATTCAAATGGTAATACAGGTTCAACGGGCAAAAGTAAAATATGTTACGCCACCGCAAAATGGATTAATGCTCCTATAGTAAACGCCTTCAAGAAAAGATTGGATATAATTAAAAATTTTGTACAACCGACTTCAATATAAATTATTAAGAATAACTCAAGAACTATTGGTCAGACCTTGATCAAATTTGTATGAGACTACATGTGAAGCATCAGCTTTCAAATAAAAAAGAATCATCGAAATCGGTTCGCCCAGTAAAAAGGTATGAGGTAACACAGATAAAAAAAACATACGACATAAGTCGAATTGAGTACCGTCTCCTTTTTGAAGTCAGTAGAAAATCTCTAAACATCAAGATGCACACGCATCAGCTTTTAACGGTTAGTGTGTTAATGTATTATTAATAATAAATAAACTATAGAAACCAAGTATTTTCGGTGTGAATGTGAACCATGGTTTTCTATATAAGAGAACGTAAACGAGCATGCAGCTCATCTGATGGTAAGTGACTACCACCGCTCACTAGCAACTGTAATACCGGGCAGGTGCGTTGGCGGCATTTTAAAAAGGAGTAATCTCGTTTCTTGAAGGTCCCTAAATCTTAACGGTGCGGAAAAACCGCCGGTGGTAAACGATTCCACAAAGAAGTCGTTCGAGGTAACTTTTAAACTTATAAATTATATATATTTATAAAAATTATATAAAATTGTAATAAAACTTCTCATAAGCTTATTGGTCAGTTACGCGAGGCTTTTAAACTATGACTCAGTATTTTCTTAAGTCGATCGTATAAAGAAATAAAATCACTTACCGAGTTTATTGTTGCTGTGTTGGTGCTGCTGTTGATGGTGATGTTGCTGTGGCGCCGCTTGCTGTGGTAGCTGCTGCATCAGCGCGGGATGTGGCAGCTGCAGTAACTTCGGCTCCAGTTTAGTCGCGGCCGCAACTGGGATTGGTCCAGCGTTCGTCATCGTTGTCATAGTCGCCGCAGGCATCATGAGAGTCGACATTGTTAGCATTTTGTTTAACACCTTCTTTTGTCACTACTGCTTTAAATCGACGCCATTATTCGTCAGCGATGAACTTTAGTGTTTACTTAATTTTTTAATTAATATTATTACACTTTTTTTTTTCCTATTTTATAGTTTTCGAAATTCACATCAAGCACATAGCACTAAGGTTTTAGAAGACTTTGTTTTTGTTTTGTTTGTTTCAAAATATACGTAAAAGTTTAAAATAGAATTTAAAATTTACTATTCTAGAACGTCTGGAAAAATAAAAAATAAAATTTATTAAATTATGTGTTCTAGGTTTCGAGCTGTGGCCTTTTTAATTATTGATAATTTAAACTATAACGCGTGAGTTTCTTTACGTCTATTAGTGGTTCTGTAATTGCCAAACGTCTAGACTGATCAAGGTCATATATTCACGCAATATATTTGTCAAGACAACGGTTCATATTTAAGATCCAAAAAATACTATATTAATGGGTTAAAAAATATTAACACCATAATATTGTTTTAGTGGCAAAAACGAAATACACAAAATCTGGACATGAAAAGTGGCGCTCTCGTCGAGTTATTAATAAAAATAAATTTTTCTTATTTTTATTCGTGACGTTTTAACGTACTTCTGTTCGTATTTAAGTCATGTAAATCTAAGAAATCATTTTTTATAATTACAGTTTAATAAATTTATGGAGCAAACTTATTGTTCTCAAATCATCAAGAAGAAAGTTTGTGATGTCTTTTGAAATACATTGACGGACAACGAAGTGGTTTTGTTTTATAGAATAAGGGAGGCAAACGAGCACACAGTCCACCTGATGGTAAGTGATTGCTGTGGGCCATAGACATCTACATCTATCCCCGTTCGTGAATTAAAATGCAGATGCGTTGTTAGCCGTGAGGACTAAGATGGTATGCCTCATTTCCAGTAAAAAGGATCTCCGGTTCTCTACACTCAGCATACGAAACACAGCAGTGTTAAGCTACTATTTTACGCTGGTATTCTGTGAGAGCGTGGTCCTTCCCCGGTCAAGCCGACCCATTTGTGCTACAACCATACTATTAATACAGCTGCAGCATGGCTCTATCACGTATAAATATTGACATAATACGCTGTTGATTAAGCGAAATTCGCGAGAAAAAGCTAGTGAGATTGTAGAAAACTTCCTAATGTACACACTGGTGACAATATTTGTATAGCGATTCCCTAACATTTTATATTTTTTTTTTTATAGGATAAGGGTGACAAACGAGCACACAGTCCACCTGATGGTAAGTGGTTACTGCGACCCATAGACATCTACATCTATCCTCTATTACAACTCAAAATGTAGATGCGTTGTCACCCGTGAGGACTAAGATGGAATGCCTCATTTCCAGTAAAAAGGACCTCCGGCCACCTGCACTCACCAAGCGAAACGCAGAGGTAAACCTCTACTTCACGCTGGTTTTCTGTGAGGTCGTGGTACCACCCCGGTTCGAGCCGGCCCATCCGTGCGGCAGCAAAAGCTGCCGCGTGGCTCTACTAATAATGAATGTTAAATGACATGGACGGTAAATTCTATGATTTATACAAACAAAAAATATTGAAGTGTTTGTTTGTAACCTCGAAGTAACAGCTTTTTATTAAATGCATATGAAATTATATACGGTACTATTAAAAAAAACATTTTTTTTTGTGTGTTTCTTTGTTTGTTACGGATAATCTCCAGAAAGACTGGACCGATTTTGACGGGACTTTCATTGACAGATTGCTGATACCACAAGGAGTAATTTAAGCTATTTTTGTTTCATAAAAATAATTATGATTCCACGAAAAAAAAAAAACTCATTAAATCCAATCGTAATAAATACCACGCGGACGAAGTCGCTGGGAAATAGCTAGTAATAAATACAACCGAGCGCGCTGAGTATCGATAATACACTGATATATAAAATGATTACATGATAGAATTTTCACGCGTACGAGAAAAAGGCAGAAACTTAAAGCTATGTATACACATGCAAAATAATGTTTTGTATAACATAACTCGTACAATATTTTTTAAGACTGCTATAAAAATGATTTATTAATTTATTTTCTGTGTATTTGTACACACGCGTATTTATGCACACACACACACACACACACATACACACACACACGTGCGCGCGCGCGCGTATTGTACACACGCGTATTTATGCACACACACACACACACACACACACACACACACACACACACACACACACACACACACACACACATACACACAAACACACGCACCCACCCACGTACCCACACACTCGCACCCACCCACCTACGCATACACACATACACACACACACACACACAAGCGCGCGCACGCGCGTAATCACGCACGCCCTAGCGTTCGTACATATACATCGATCACTTCACTATGTGCTCACTGCTCTGAACGATAATAAGCAGTGTAAGTTGTGGTTAATAATTATTATAATTGGTCTGCCCACGTTTATTTACTGTAATTAGTAATTATTGCAACATGGCTGCTGATATAACTAAAGTAAAATTGAAAAATATAACAGTTAAAAAAATATTTAAATAACACACAATGATCATGATCTGTGATATCCTGATAATTATTTAATTTTATCCTGGCAATCGGATAAATTTATTAAATTTATTGTGTTGTCATCGGTTCTTGATACGAGTGCAAAATTTAAAGTCAATCGGTCATCTATAAGTTGGTAAAAATTATATTAAAAGATTATAATATATAATCGTTAATGTTAGGCGCAAAAGAATGAAAAAACATTAAAAATAAAACTAAGAAAATAGAACATCAATAATCACATAATACTAAATAACGTAAAGAAAACGTATCTAATTAAAAATGACTCATACTCATTAACTGCTAATAATATAATATAAAAATACATTATCATCATCATTACAGCCCTTTACAAGTCCACTACTGGACATAGGCAAGGGAAGGGAAGGGAAGGAATGCCACAAAGCACGGCCCAGAGCCACCTGCATCCATCGACATCTTGCATTTCTTACCAGTGCAGTGGACTTAGACAAATGGCAATCGCTCCGTGTCTAATGCATTTCGAAAATCGATTTCGTCTTAACGATTTCGAACGTAAAGTGGTAGACAAAGTACATCGGCAAACCCAACGTTAAGTTGAAGAGTTCTTTCGATAAAAGACAACTTCTTGACTATGGTCTCGAAATGAAATGTCAAATTCAAAGCGCGCTAAATATACACAAAGTATTCGCAGTATTTATATATATTACGCAGTTTGACATCTACACTTCTACACTTCTACATATACACTTCTACACTTCTACACTACTATTATAAAGAGGAAAGGTTTGTTTGTTTGTTTGTTTGAATTGAATAGGCTCCGAAACTACTGGACCGATTTGAAAAATTCTTTCACCATTAGAATCCTACATTATCCCTGATGAACATAGGCTATATAATATTTTCATAAAGTTATGGATCCGTATGAAAAATTCGTTAATGTAACCCAAGGTGTGAAAAAAAATACGAACAAGAATCCTCATATCGCGTACGCTGCGGAAACTATTGATAATAGAGCAAAGTAATGTACTTCAGTTTTATAGAGGATATCAATATCTACAAAAAAGTCTGCGATACCGTATGTTTAACTATTACAGTTATGTCACAATAACTACTTTTTCATGTTAAAATGTGAAATAATATCGACGGTACAAACTAGGCCACATTATTCGTACGAGTACCTGTGTCATGCATAACCACCAATTACGTTAACCATGTAATTTTAGTAACATATTTCACTTTTTAAATGTTTGTTAATTCAACAACCGTCCGTCAGATGTCTCTCTCGATGTTCGCATGTCGCAAGGCGCAGACGCGTGATATACGCGGGTGAAACCGCGGGGCACAGCTAGTTGTCTATAAATTAGCGATCGAAAACGATCGATCAGTTATGTTTCCAAAAAGCTTATGTCAGCTCCATACATTTCGGAGTTATCTAATTTCGTTATCGTTAATGAAAATGTGACATTGTCTATGGGCCCTTGTCGTCACCGCATCTAGTGCGGGGGCCGCCATACATTTCGGCCACCAGTACGAGGTACCGGGCTGCCACTCGAGAACCTTTCTTCTCCATCGGTTGTAAGTTCTTCGAGCTATATGCCACTTCAGCTTATTAATCCGTACTAATACATATTCCAATTACTTACATATATATATATATATATATATATATATATATATATATATATATATATATATATATATATATATATATTCAAATATATATAATTGAAATATAAGTCTTAATTAAATTGTAAAGTATTATTGTCAGCGTAGAATAATAGCTTATAATAAATAGATCTGCAGTTTTTTTTTCGTTTAAATTCTACGCGTTAAAACCGCGGGTAAAAGCAAGTTTGTAATATAAAATGCTCTAACTTCGTTTAAATTTTACGTCTCTGAAGCATGTGCTCTCGGAGTTTAAAACCGCGTGGTATGAACCGAGAATCGCTACTTATTATGTATATATATATATATATATATATATATATATATATATATATATATATATATATATATATATTATGTATATCAACCGATCAAAGCTGAACTGTTTGAAACTTTCTGCATATTTTGAGAACTTAAGCGTGCCCTTATGCGATGAAATATTAAAACTATTCCTCAACTCGGTCCCTTTGAAGATAGGCAAGTCTTTGGATGGAGTTGCATATGAATTATAAAGTGAGTTTCAACGGGGTTAACATATAAACACAATACTTTAGTTGACGTGTACGTCTTTGCTCGGAGAGTAGGCAGGGATCGCTAGATTTATTCTTTTACTGGTTTTTAAAGAAATTTCATCAGAAGCTTATTAACGTAAGGGCTAATTACGATGCATGAAAATTAGTCACAGAATACCAGTTTAAAATAGCGGCTTGATGCTGCTGTGTTTCGTATGGTGAGTGTAGAGAACTGAAGACCCATTTTACTGGAAACGAGGCATTCCATCTTAGTCTAGGA